GGGGGTGGGGGGGATGGGCCGAGACGAGCAGGCCCACTCCCACTGGTACCCACGTCTCGAGGGACTCCAAGGAGACCCACACCAGTAATCCGACTCGGTGCTTCACAAACCAGGTTAGGTGCCAGGGTACCAAGATGTCCCTTTATTGGAAAACCCATCCCTAAGACCCCAGCAGGCTCCAGTCGAACACCCTGGCCAGGTGCCCATCGCAGAGCCCAGACATCTTCAGCTCTGGCGCAAGGGAGGCATCCTGTCTCCTCTTTTCCCGGTTTGTCCCCTGTGATATCTGAGTATGAATACAGGGTCCCGCTCCCCATCCCGCAGTCTCATAGGTCTTTGGGCCAGGCCCCAGTCGTTGCTTTCCTGGGGGAAGAAAACAGGAGGAAAGCCTCTGGCCCTGTCCAGAGTGCCCAGCTGCCTCGTTGTCTGCCCTCCTTTCTCCTCCCATTCCTCTGTTATTTTCGGCGCCCGGGTTTTGGCGCAGGGTCTTCCTCCAGCCCTCTCTTCCAGGCCCCACTTCATTGTTCAGGCACCACCAACCAGCCCTGCCCTGCCCGGCCTCCCTCCATCTGTGCCCCAGACCCGCCCTCTCTCTGGGTCTTCACTCCTGCAAGTGACCTGCTCGTTTCTGGCCTCTTGAGTCTCTCCTGAGCCTTTTACCAGCTTTCAACCAACTCCTTGCCCTCCTTGGTCCTCTGTCCGCACCTCAGGTCCCTTCACTCTTAACTCTCTTGGAGAGTTGTCTTGGTCTCTCCAGGGGTTCCTTTGCCTTGGCCCTTCTCTGCCTAACTCCTTCTACAGCAACTTCTCTTCCCCTCCTGCCCAGCCCTTGGCCTCTGCTCGCTGCCTCCCTGCCAGCTCCCTTACTGTGCTTGGAGACCAGCACTGCTGCTAGGTGGATGGCTGGTCCGGTTCCAGGTCATGCTCAGGCTGGGGCTCCTGCTCCTGCTCCTCTTTCATCCTCTGACGGATCTCATCAGCCTCAGCCCTTTCCTCTTCCTCGTAGAACTCCTTGTCCAGGCGCTCCAGGTGTGGCATCTGCACCAGGGCCTCCTGGCGGTAGTCAGTCTCATCTGTGCACGGATTCTCCAGCAGCACCAAAGCTCGCAGCTTGGGCAGTTCCCGCAGCTTGGCCAGCTCCCTCAGGCTGGTTATAGAGTTGCCCCTGTCAGTGTGGTTAGGAGGGGTGACCCAGGAATAATGGGCTTTGGTTGCCGCTGTTAGGAGTGGGGTCTCCCTGGAGGACTATCCCACCGGGCCTCAGTTTCCCTCAAAACACTGGGCTTGCTGCAGAGGTGCTGCCCAGACCCACTCCTGTCCTGCTTCTGCTCTCCAAGGAATCCCATATTTTACCATGTTATGTGTCATTTTTCACCTGCTGGAACAGCAAGCCACACCCTGTCCTCCGGGAGAGGAACATATGTCTATGCGGGTAGGGGTTAGAGTTAGAAGGCAGGGCCCGGGGTCAGTGGAGGAGGATCTGGGATCTGAACATGGGGTTGTGTGGGTGCTATGTTGGTGTTGGCTGAGGAGGAACTGGAGTAAGGGGCGAGTGGGAGAACAAGCTCGGTCTCCCCGTGGGCCTCCTCGTGGGCGACTATGTATTTATTCTCATGTCCTTTTTCAACACTTTGTGCAGTTCATCCAGATGGTTTGCCCCGGTAGCCATGGATGTGCTGGGCTCCTGCAGTACAGATGTCTTGGACCGGAGTGTTCTGCACAAGGTGGGATGTGGATCATCTCGGGTCCCTGTCATTTAGATGTGGTGTCTGCAGATGCCCCCTCATCTCCAAGTATGCCCAGGTAATGGCTACCAAGGAAGGATCTGTTATCCCTAGCATATCCACAGGAACACACACACACACAATCCACAAGGGCAGAGCTGATGGCCAACAGACTGTCCCAGAGAACAGAGGCCTGGGCCAGGGCTCTCGGGTGCGCTCACTCAATTCTGTTGCGAGTTGGAGGGTTTGTTTGTTTGTCTGTTTGTTTGTTTTGGGACGGAGTCTTGCTATGTAGTCTAGGCTGGCTTTAAACTCACTGTGATCCCCCTACCTCAGCCTCCCAAGTTCTGGGATTACAAGTGTGTACCACCACACTCTGCTGGAGGACTTGTTCTTATTACCTCCTAAAGAAGGAAACAGTTTCCTTACATTTGTGCTTAGACACACATAAGGCCAGGTTCAGTGGCACACACCTATAGAGACTTAGCAAAACCAGGTCTCAAAAAAAGGAGGGGGAGAGGGGGAAGGGGAGGAGGAGACAGGAGGAGAAAGAGGAGGGGGAGGGACGGAGGAGAAGGAGGAAGCAGGAAGGGGGCTGGCGATGCAGCTCAGTGTGAAGGCTCTGGACTCAATCCCCAGTACTGAAGGAAAAGAAACAGAAGAAGAAGGAAAAGAAGAAAAGAAACACCTAAACCCTTCAGGGACTGGAGGAATATCTGGGTGTCAGAGCCACACTAAGGATGAATGAGGCCCTGGGTTCAATTCCCAGTACCACAAAAACGGCAAGAAAAAATCCTCCACTATATGAGATGCTAAAAGAAAATCCCTTCCTTCTCCTGACCTTTCTACCTGGACAGTTTCTTTCAAATACTCTTCTCTCTTCAAATTGGAGGGAATCCTTATGGTTAATATCAGTAAGAACCCAGGGGCAGAAGAGCAAAAAAGAAATCAGCAATACACATGGGGCTCAGGAGAAGAGAGACAAGAAATGAGAAGGGCAATCGGGGCGAGGACATAGGGAAGGACAACGAGAATTTATGTAGGATAGGGCCAGGAAAGAGCTGCAGCCAGACTGTGAATTCCTGAACAGTAGGGGCCGCAGGGCACAGTGCTACACACCTATATTTCCAGTTACTTTGGAGGCTGAGGTAAGAGGACTGCTAGAGACCAGGAGTTCAAAGACAGCCCAGGCAACATAGTGAGAGAGAAGAAGAGAAGAGAAAAAGAACAGAGACCACCTCTGATTCCTTCAGATGTCTGCAAAACACAGCACAAGGCCTGGCATCTTCTTATCCGTCATGGACTGAATAAATGACATTCAGAAGTTGCAACTGGGACCAGACATAGAAAGGCTGAGGGGAGGAGCAGACTGCGGGCGAGGACTGGGAGACAGGACAGGGAAGAACTCAAGCTCCAAAGCTCCTCCTGGCCAAGGCAGACCCAGGTGGGGCTGGGAAGGGACGTACCTCAAGTTGAGGTACTGCAGTGACTGCATTTCCTTGGTGAAGCCGCTCAGAGTTTCAATGTGGTTGTCTCGCAGGTGTAAGGTGGTGAGATCGCTTAGGCTTTCCAAGCCTTCCACTTTCTTCAGCATGTTCTGGGCCTAGGCCCCAAGACACAGGAGAATGAGAGAAGAGCGAGGGAGAGGGTCCAGATAAAGAGGGAAAGAGACAAAGCAAAAGAGGAAATGCAAAGGACAGGCAAGCACAGTAGGAGAGGGAAGGGGGCAAGCAGTGAACAGTTAAGGAGCTTAAAAGGTCCAGGAAAGGCTGGGCACGCAGCTCAGGGATAGATCGCTTCCCTAGCACTCAAAGCCCTGGGTTCCATCCCAGAGAAAGGTCCACTGTAATTCCTACTAAGATCTCACCAAAACCACTTTTAAGTGAAGCAGAGATACTTTACCCCACCCCCAAGGCCTGGGAGCCTCAGAAACACAACTGCAGCATCCCTGGAATGAAGAAGTGTCAGTCTAAAAGGCTAAACCTGTAAGTGGTTGCCTTAGCCTGACCACTGTGCCTCAGTTACAGCACAGGATGTAACCATCTCTGCGTTATCCACAAGGGACCATCAGCCCTGCCAGGTGGGAAGCACCTTGGCAGTTTTCACTTCACATCTCCATGGAATCTGGCACCATGGAAGGGCTCAACGGATGACACTGGTTTCTATTAGGATGGTGGAGTTAGGAGCTGAACCTACAAGAACCCAAGTGTCCTCATCCCCCACACCACCCTGTGGCCCAGGGGAGCTACCAGAAAGAGCTTCTTCAGCTTAGGAAGGTTGATTCCCATGGTGGTATACAACTGGTTCCCCCGGAGCTCCAGAGTGTGCAGGCTTTTCAACTTCTCGGGGTCCAAACCGGTCACCACCTGGATGCGGTTCCCTGGGGAGGAGGGGATCAGCACTCCAAGGGCCGCTCTGAATGTTCAGCATTACAGCCTGAATTTTAACAGCCTCTCCCTTTAACACAGGAAGGATACTGAGGAAGGACAGCTCTAGATTGCACTTCTAGAGCCCTAAGCCAAGTGGAGCCAGTGGACACATCCATCTAAGCCTGTGGGGACTGAGCAACCCACACGCCTGACTCCCTCTTTCAAGCCTTGCTGAGATGTTTCTGTGATGCTTGTCCTAACCAAACTGTTTTAAATTGCTGCTTGTGCCTTTCCTCTTCTGCTTTCCCTGATCTATTTTTTTCATAGCAGGTATCTCCTCTTTGCATACTATATAAAGTACTTATTTATTGTGTTCATTGTTGTCTGTCTGCCTCAACTAGAGGAAACAGGGATTTTTTTTTTTTTTTCCAGTACTGGGGATTGAAGCAAAGGTCTTTGCGCTGAGTTTATATCCCTAGCACTTAGTTGGGCATGGTGGTGCCCTTTTTATTTTTTATTTTGAGGTAGGATCTTGCTAAGTTGCCCAGACTAAACTGAAACTTGTGATCTCCTGCCTCCCACAGTGCTGGGATTACAGGCATGAGCTATCATGTCCAGCTGAAAATAGGCATGTTTGTTTTATTCAAGGCTATGTTAACAAATCCTAATACATGTCCTGATTTTTTTAAATGATGCTGGGGATTAAACCCAGGACTTTGAGCTGGGCGTGGTAGTGCACAACTGTAATCCTACAATTCAGAAGGCAGAAGCAGGAGGATTGCTGTGAATTTGAGGCCAGCCTGGGCTACATAATGAGTTCAAGGCCACTATGAGCTATGAGCTACCCAGGAAGACTGTGTTTCAACAAAATAAAACAAAAAATCAGGGGCTTGTGCATGGTAGTTAAGCATCACCCTTGAGCTATGTCCTCAGCTCTGTGTCTTCATGAATGAATGTGGATTGCTGTATGGCTCAAAGAAGGACCACACTGCCCACTTCTGTTAGCCCCAGGCTAGGATGGAATGAATCATAAGCAGCTCCTTATAAGGACCTGCCTTTGAGATCCAGGCTTGCTAGCCGAGGATGAGAGATGCCTTCAGTGTCAGTGATCTGGTTGTAGGCAAAACTGGCGATCTGCAAGTAGGGCAGTTCATTCAGCTGGGCACTCCGAAGCTGGTTGCCATCAGCCTTGAGCCACAGCAGGTGGGTGAGGTTATTGAGTGGTGCCAGGTCCGTCAGATGGTTCTCAGAGATATCCACATAGCGCAGATGGATGTAGGAGCACAACAAGGAGATGTCTGTCAGGTCTCTAGGAGATGCAGAGAGGGGAGAACCAGGGTTGGGGAAAGAATTAGGAAAACCGCGTAAGTGCTAAAGCAAAGGGCAATTGTGTAAAGCAAAGGGAATGGGCAGAGGAATGGGTAACAGATGGGAGGGGTAAGGAAGGGAAAGAAAAGGTAGGTGTGTAGGGGTATGTGTGTGTGTATATGTGTGTGTTGAGTGGAACCCAGAACCTCGCACATCCTGGGTAAGTGCTCTACCACTGATCTCCATCTCCAGCCCCACAGGCAGGTTTTTAACAGTGGATAGACTTTGTGTCCATGCAGGACAGAAACCACACACTCTGAAAGAAAGCTTCGAGAATACAGCAGGAATTCCTTCCCCCTAGCCTCCAACCTCTCAGGAAGGCTTCTGAGGGTGTGTTTCATAGTGCCAGGGATGAACCCAGGGCCTCCTGCACGCTAGGCAAGTGCTCTACCATGGGAACACCCAGCCTCCAGGGAGACCTAGCGATCCTGAAAAGTAAATCCCATTCTTCCCTTGCCCACTAAATCAGGATGTGCGAGATCCAGTTTCCGCCAAAACACCATGGATAGGAGTAGGAAAGCAGATGGGGTCCTATAATGTCAATCATGGGTCATTTTGTTCCCCAAAACACACTTGTCCTTAAGATCCAGTTTAACATAAGCATGAGCCAGTCCATTCCCCGTCTTACAGAGCATAGACAGCCCTTCCTTCACCATCTCCTCCGTCAGGGGCGTGGGCAGCCACTGTGGGAGGGAAAGATTTAAGGTGTCTCTTCCGGCCTGCTCCCAGCCCTTAGCCCTGGGAGCCCTCCCTTCCCAGGCTCTCACGTCCTCAGACAAGTCTTCCCCCTCCTTCTTGTAGTCTTCCCACTCCTCTGTATCTTTATCATCTTCTTTTTCCAGATCATCCTGTTCTGGCTCCAAGTCATCCAGATCTTCTTCGTCTGACATCTTTCTCCTCGCCGGGAGATTCTGGAGTCAGGTCAAGCGCAGTCCTCGTCCTGAGAAAGAAGGTCTAGGTTTCCACCAACCCCCAGTTCCCTTACCTCTTTGACAAGTACCTGCCCATCACCCCCTACCCGACTCCCAGCTGTGCTTTCCCTTGCAAACATCTCCTGCTGACTCCCGGCCTCCATTTCATGCTTTCCATACACAGTCTCCTCCCTTCAAGATGCCCTCCCAGACCCCTGACCATTCTAACTTTCCCTCCCTGCTTAGTCCCATTTCCCTCTGTTGTCTGTCTTCCCACCCAATCCCCCTTCCCAAAGGGACGGAGAACTGGTTTTCTCAAATGGAAGCAATTCTGGGGAGGTTCTTGGTCCAAAACGAAGGAGTGCTTTGGAACAGCTGCAAGAGTGGAGGGTTGTGTACTGCTGTTATAGCAACTGGGGGCGCGGAGCGGCTGGCCCCTGCTTGGGTATCTAGGACGCGAAGACCCGCCCCTACATGAAGGGCTGGCCTACCTCTGGCCCGGTGGACCAGGCGTTGCCTGGTTACCAGGCCAACTTCCGAGTCCCAGGAACCCGGATGAAGCAGAGGCTGTAAAGCAGTGGGCAGGGCTTAGAATAGGGCAGTGGGAAGGGTTAGCCATTACGTCACCCGAGACCTTAAAGGGACAGGACATGCTCACTGCAAAAGTACTGTACAGTGTTGTGAGTTTAGAAGAAATTTGTCCCTAAAAGCAAAAGGGGCAGAATGGGTGTGGGGAGCGCTAAATGTAGCAAGAAGTACCAAGGTAAGGAGTCTTGTTCTCACATAGACCCTGCCCGTTATTTTCAGGTAAACCTTGGAAGGTGATTTGATGGAATACAAGGAGCCCAGGCTGAGGTACAGTGTCTTAAAACCTGGGTTGGAATCTTGACAGATCCGTTTACTAGCAATTTATCTAACCCTCTGTCAAATAAGCTTAGAGTAAAATTAATTACACCGACTGTCAAGGGTTGGGTGTGACTGCCCTTGGATTGTTGCACTAGGACTGGATTTATGAAAATCTTGAGCTGGGCGTGGTAATGCATGCCTGTAATCCCAGCACTCCCGGGAGGGTGAGGCAGGAGGATCGTTGCATTCGAGACCAGCCTAGGCCACAAAGTAAGCTCAAGGACAGCCTGAACTGCATCATGAGACCCTGTCTCAGAAAGACCAAAAAAAAAAAAAAAAAAAAATCTTGGATATAGGAAAATATCCAACATCTGTCCACTAAAATACTCCTGATCCTGAGCAGGGCATGGTAGTACATGCCTGTCATCCCAGCACTGAGAAGGCTGAGGGAGGAGGATCATTGTGAGTTTGAATCTGCCGAGACTACATAGTGAGTTCAAGACTAGCCTGAACTAGTAATGAGACCCTGTCTCAAAAAACCTAAATAAATAAATAAATAAAATACTCCTAGTGGCTGGGGATTTAGCTCAGCAGCACAGCGCTTGCCTGGCAAGCACGAGGTCATGAATTCGATTCCTGGTACCGGAAAAAAAAAAGACCTGCAGCTTCAGGACACAAAAGTTACTCAAGCTTTTTCCCTTCCAGACATAATTCCAGGGCTGGGGATACAGCTCAGTGGAACAGTCCCTGCCTGGTCCTAAGTTTGATAGCTGATTCAAAAAAAAAAAAAAAAAAATTTCCTAAAGGTCTTAAAGCTAACAAGCCTATAAACAGGACTCTGGGCCTATAATCCAGTGTTGTTATATCAGTTTTGAGCAACAGCTGACCTGCCCCAACACAGGTACTCAGGCCTCTGTAACATGTTGAAGGAGATGAGCTGAGAAGTCGCAAATGTTTTTGAAGTTTATGCCACACATTGCATCAGATGCCATTACAAGTGACATTTAATCTTTCTAGGTATGGTGGCATGGCCCTGTTATCCTAGCTACTAGGGAAACTGAGGCAGGAGCGTCACAAATTGAAGACCGGCCTGGAAAACTTAGTGAGGTCCTGTCTCAAAAGTTAAAAAAAGGGGGGGGGGCTGGTCCTCAGGAAGGGTAATATTTATGCCACAATTCCTGCCTGGGGGAAGGATTTGTTATGGAATCCAGTGTAAATAGAACAGTTAGGTCATAAAGTAAAATACATAACTAATTTTTTAAGCTTTTTTTTTGGTACCAGGAATCGAACTCAGTACCTTGCACTTGCCAGGCAGGCACTTGTGCCGCTGAGCTAGATCCAGCCCCATGACTAATTGCTAACCTGTATGTTGCAGTCTTTAAATAGCATACTAAGAGGCTGGGAAGATGAGATGGGAGGATAATCAGGAAGTATTCCTCCTATTTATATAATCTGTAGACAACTCTGCTTGAGGTAAGATGGAGGAAATAAATAGAAAGGAGACAACAAAAATTGTAATATTAAAATTGTACTTTTTAAGAAGAAACTGCAAAGCCAGTAATGAGAACATACACCTGTAATCCCAGCACTCGGGAGGCTGATGCAGGAGGATTGCCCTTTTTTTGTTTTGTACCGGAAAAAAAAAAAAAAAAACAAAAAAAGGGCAGGCCCTATAGAGCAAATTTGGGCCCAGTATAGTAGAAGTGTACCCTACAGCAGAGATGGTAAGCCTTTTGGAGCTTCCAGTGATGCAAACAGCTCACTGTGGCACATGTGCCATAGGTTTGCCATCACTGTCCTACAGCGTGAGGTGGCCACCATACAAGAGAGAACAGAGTGCCAAAACCTCAGCGCAGACTGTCCTTTTTCCATCATTCACTCTTCGGACTGAGGTCAGGTCCAGCCTGTCCTACGGGAAACCTGCTGAGTTCCCAAGACCGTTCTGCATCCTGGGATCCTAGCTGCCTCCTTTCCCAGCCAGATATAGACAAGCCCTACCTTCCAGTCTCACTCAGAAATATTTCTAGCTCACAGGCACAAGGCGCCTCTCTCCCTCTGGAGGGCCTGCACTTGAGTGTACACTTCTACAATTCTGTTTAATAAATCTCAATAAATAAATAAATAATAAATAAATCTCAGCCAGGCGTGGTGGCACACACCTGTAATCCCAGCATGCAGGAGGCTGAGGCAGGAGGATCATTGCAAGTTTGAGACCAGCCTGGGTTACAAAGTGAGTTTAAGGACCACCTGAACTGCATAGCAAGACCCTGTCTGAAAAAGACCAAAAAAAAAAAAAAAATCTCTTCATGCATCTCACACTGATGCATCCTGAAAATTCTTTATCTGTGATGAAAGTCAGCCAACCAGCAGCCTGCTCCATAGGTGGATGTGTCCAGCCCAAGTAAAGTCAAAGTTCTGCACCTCCACTTTGGGGACCTCCTTGGACCAACCCTGTTGGGTGACAGGCTAACTTGGTGTCATAGATCTAGGGGTAGCTTTAGTCAGAGACAATAGTACCGTTAGAAACAGCGGAGCTGGGGAAGTCACTCCCTACCACTCACATAGTTTCAAAGGGCACCTGGAGCCCTTCCTCCTTCCCTTCTCCTAAGGGAGGCAGAAAATCCCATAACAAAACCCCAGGTTATCTCTGATGCTCTAGGAGAGAGCGCATGCGTGTTGGGTCTCCTGGCCTGACCTTAGTCACCTTCGCCCTACTCCAACCTTATTACGGGTTTGTGAATAAACACTAAGTCTCATACATGTGATTAAGATCAGAGTGGATTCTGGGGCAGCCTGCGCGGAGAGCCCCAGAGGTGACGCAGCACCCGTCAGTCATTCCTGTCTGTCACCCCTAGAGACTCGGGGAGGCGATGGGCACAGACGCAGAGCCTTTCAATCCCGAAGCCGGATTTATCCGGAGCTGCCTTGCGCTCTGTGTGCTGTGCTTTTGCTTTCCCGTCACCCCGCACCCCTTCTCTGTTCGCTCCAGGCCTT